AAATCACAATAAAGCTCTTGTAGTAGGTAAAGAGGTATTTCTACTCATCAATATCTAACGGCTACAAATTAGTATCTGAACATCATTCATATCGACGGGCCGACGGCCCTGGTAAATTGCGACCTCCGGCCCTGGTCAAATGCCCATCTTTGACTCCAATCTGCGCCGACCCGCGTGCACCGATCCGACTCGTACCCGCATTTGGCCGCACCGTCGCACGCGCCGAGGAAGATGACCAGCTTTCGCCTTCCTGCAAAATAACAAACTCATCACAACACAATCGCACACATAAAATTAATTAAATAATTAATTATTTCTCAGATTTAAAAAAAAATAATAATAATAATAACTACATTGGATCCGCTATTTCCAGAAGAACCGTACAAACGACGTCGTTTTCCAAACACCACCGCATCCCCGTCGGCCTCTGCCTCCTCCTCGGCGCTCGAGCTGCTCTCGGCCGGCGGCGACCACGGCACCACCGGAATCTCCTCCACCACCTCCGGCGGGTAGTCCCCGCCGTCTTCCCTCCGGTCGGCGCATTTCACGCAGGCGGAGGCGGTGGGCCCGAGCTCAGCGCCGGAGGCGAACCACGGCGTGGGGCACTGGCACGCGCGGCAGAGCAGGTTCCTGGAATGACGGGCCACCAGGAAGTTGGCGGAGTGAACTCGCGCGTCGCAGGACCAGCATAAGCTCGCTTGGTCCGACTCGCAGTGGATCCGCGCCGTACGCTTGCACAACTCGCACCACTTCATCTTCTCCACTTACGCCTGAAATAAAAGGAGGATGAGATGTGAAAAGGATGAGAGAAACTGGTAACCGATGAGAGAGAAACAGAGTAATAATAATAATGGATGTGAAGAAGAGGAAGAATAAGTGAAACAAAGGGAAGCCAATATGTTAAATTCAACTTGCACAGTCAACAGCCATAAAAAATAAGCTGCACATTTTTCTTTTCAATGACGAAACTACCCTCCATGCCTGAGTCGGTATGAACTAGAGCTATTAAACGAAATGAGACGCTAGCAAATTTGACTCAGACATTTTTAATTAAAAGACGAAACTACTCTCTGGGCTCGAGTCAGTATGGATTAGAGTTGTTAAACAAAATGAAATGTTAGCAAGGTTGACTCAACTTGGTTGCTAAACAATCCGTCGATTTTGGTTAATATTTATTTAACGTGTTGAGCAGATAAAGCTCGAGAACAAGGATGTTTACGTAACTTTGAATGTTAAATTGGCTAGTTAAGGCTTGATTTAAGCTAATTACCTTTGAGAATAAGATTTTGAACGTGAATTTGTAAGACACAAATTCGACTCATTAATATTGTTAAACAAGTTTGTGTGCGCATGTTTGTCGTCTCACTTAGTTGATGACGAGGTTTGGTTCGATAGACTCAAATTTCAGATCGAGTATCAAGAGTTCGAGCTCAGCTCGTCTCCACTTGACCTCTAGTATGGTTGTGCTAGATTATTCGATAGACTCAAATTGCATAGTCCAATTTTTTTTCTTTTTGCACATATGTAAATGCCTATAGAACATCACTTGGTACATTTTTGTTTACATTGTAAGTTGTAATAAAGTAGGGTTAAAATGGAGATTTGACAAGTGGGGACTTTGAAATGAGATATATATTCCTTTGATGGTTGTGTGGCGATAAAAGCGACAGCGTAAAGGAAGGACCACGGAGAGCCTTGCGGTGGTTCCCACGTGGCGGTGTCTACAGATCTTGCTGCGATTGTTATCATTTTTATTTAGTTTATTAAGGTGACGTGGTAAATGGCTTGATTTGATATTGTGCTGACATGGCCGATTATAGTCCATTGGTAGGGCATTGTCCCACGTGATGGGCACGTGACGGTGCTTTGGAAATGAGTACGCGTGGTGAAGATAAAGTAGGGAATAGAATGGTGGGACAAATGAAATGAGCCTCTTTACGCGTGGTTAAAATAAAGAAGGAAATGGAATTTTCATGGTACATCATCATTTTTATATTTTGATTAATCTTTACATAATAAATAATTTGTATTTACATTATTATTCATGTGCAATTAGGTTTTAAATTTAACTCGAGGTAATTAAAAAAGAAATTGATTAAAATGTATATAAATTATAATGTGATGTATCGGTAGATAAATTGTGATTTTTACAATTTTTTTTTTTTTTTATATTTACATGCTACAGTAATTTTTAAACAGCATTGCACAAATTTACTAACAAATATTATATATATCTTAGGGTACCAATAATTTTTTTGGATATAAGTATTTAACCAATAACTTTTTTTTATCTACCAATTATTATTTAAATACTAATTGCATTACATACTTTAATTGTTACATACTTAGTTTACAACCATAAACCTAAAAGTGATACTACTGTAAATGCGAAAACATATTCAGATACAACGGCGACCCATGTAAGTAAGATTCACTCTTTTAAGGAGAGCCGTGCATTTTGGACCTTAACCGAAAGCTTCAGCTTCTCATCCTCCACGTCTCGGAAGAGTGCCAGTAGAATCGTGCGATACACTTCGCACCTCTGATTCGTTTGCTGAAGATCGGCAGTCAGTTCTTGCATCTTCTTCTCCTTCTCTTCCTGCAAAAACCAAATGGCCTTAAAACAATACACAAAGCCACTTGTGATTGACTAAAAGCCCGATATAAGCACCAAAATGGCATTCAAAACGAGTTTGCTTTTAAAGGAGCAATACCCACACAGTTTACGTGACAGTCCTGCAAATGCTAAGAGCCTGCTATTGATTCAGTATACAACAACAATAAGGAAAAAAANNAAAAAAAAAAAAAAAAAAAAAACTTCAGAAGTAGCTAACCTTCGGTAAATAAGATGACGACTCGTTTTCGGTTGCATGCATTTTGTGATTTCCTCCATTTGCCTCGCTCGTCCCTTTCAAAGTTCCAGCATATTTGCTCTTTACAGAAGCAACTTTTTTCGAAGCCTCTTGGAGTGCATTCATAGCTACATTGTAAACACGAATGGACTTGGCACCTTCCTCGACATACTTCATTGCCTCCCGACGCAAATTACTAGCCCTCACCACCTGAGACTCTCGACAATTTCCGGTCAACCCAAAAGCCCCAGACCCGGGCCCACAATCCCCTGCGCTCGCCTTCGCATTCCTCGTCCAACGTCTCAGGACATACTCATGAGGAAGCATGAGCACGTTCTTCGCCCGAAAAACCGAGAGCACGTGCCTGCAAATAATACCCGAAAATTCAAACATCCGGCAACTACAAGCGGCTTTCCCATCACAGAACCTAACAGTGTGAGCTTTGAGCTCTTCTCCAAATTTCGCCACACGATACGTTATCACGCCGCCAGATTCATCGAGCATTCGTGCGGGATTCGCAAGGGTCTCGACTAATTCGTCTTGAAATTTGACGAATATCCTCCGGGTGTAAAGACCGGCAGCTTGCTTTTCCATAGGCGATGGAGTTTTCAAAATAGGATTAGTATGGAGAGTGTCAAAATCGTCCCTCAACTCCTTTTCCTGCCAGCTGGCGACGGCCTTCTCGTATTCTCTGATCCACGACTGCACGGTGGTGGCTGCCGATGTACCCGAGAACTCGTCGAGGAAAAAACTCTCGTCACGGTCCACTGCAAATAGGTCTCCAAAAAACGAGTCCCTCAGATAAACCGGGACCCACTGGTCCCGAACACTGTACAACGATCGAAACCACTCATTCTCCATCAGGTAGTACCGAGCAAGAAGACTCTCCCAGCACGATTCGAATTCCTCGGCTGAGTCAGCCTCGTTCACACACTTTTTCAGCTCGTGGTTAAAAGTGGGGTCCACCTGGCAGACGTTAGTCAGTTTATGCTGCGTCTGTCTGAAAATGCTCCACCTGCAGAGACGGGTCCNCGTCTGAGGATGGAAAATACGAGCAGCGGCTGTCTGAACGAGCCGGTCAGGCTCGATCGTGATGGAGACGGGGGTCTGTCCAGACATTGCCCCAAGCCAAGTTTGGAAGAGCCACGCAAAAG